ATTGTGTTACAGAAGGTCTTGTGCCAGAATTTAAACTGCCATTTGAAGCTGAACTAGGAGCAATGATAACTTCTGAGGTGATGCACACTTTYGTAGTGACCAAAAAAGCAAGGCCAGGATTTCCTGATGCTTGGAAAAACAATCATCCTGTAAGTGATGTGCTATTGCTTGTTTCTTTTGTTAACACCTTTTCCTGTAAGAAAGGAACCTTTCAGCTAGATACAAATGGTTAATCATTGCTATATCTTTAATGTATATTGTCCATACAAAATAATACATCTTTAATTTACATTGCCTGTACTTATACGTAGACAATTACTGGCAGCTTGACCATGAGGGGATATCCAAGATGTTGCTTAGCCAGCTGGGGACAAATCCTAATTRATTTTGTCACCCCTGAAAATACAGTGATAAATGACCGGTTAATAAATGATTCTTAAGTCTTTGTCAACTCAATTATTAGGGCCATTTTACAATACATGGATCACTTTCTCTTGAAAAAGTTGAAGATTAAAAGTCTCTCTATGAGTGACGTTTTCTGTGACTGGTCAGAATTGAAGCTCCCCTTTAACAGTGCGTTTAAAAAGTATTGGATTACTTTATGTCACATTACTCAGTTTTGTTTGTCCTATTTTTAATCAGGGAATAAGATCATTAAAAGAGACAATTGAAGATTGTTGGGATCAGGATGGTGATGCACGCCTYCTTGCTTTATGTGTTAAAGACAGACTAGAAGATCTTGCAAATGAATGTCCAGGGACAACCTGTGATAATGTATCTATTGGTACAGTCCAAGAGTTCCAACAGAATTTCATGTTGGAAACACCCGAAACATCACTCATGGATAAAAACACAATGTTTGTGACTATAAACAAAGATGATGATGCAACGATTGTTTAGGTAACTATGTTATGACAGGTCACCCCACCCCACCCCACCCCACCCTACCAGGATTTGCATACTATGATTTAGTAACCATAAGATTAAATATTATTTGTTGGTTCCATGACTAGCAAATGGCCTACCAGAAGGGTTCGTGCAGGTCCTTGAACTCCTTAAAAGAGGTTGAAATTTTAGAATGTAACTTTAAGGGCAATTGAAAGTCCTTTACAATTAAAAAAAAAGGAAAAAATCTGCTAATAGTCCTTTAAARATCCAAGAAAACATGTCAATAAAGATTTAGAAAAAATATCTTTACTGTAAAAATACTTTACTGAGATATATTTATATGAAAAGATTGTGCTTGATGATGATAACTCCATAATAGGACAGTCACATTTGCTGGATTCCTGTGTTTTTTGCACATGCTCATCCCCTTTGTTTGACAGTTTTGCATGCTATTGAATTCTTAAATGTGTATTACTCTTTGAAAATTGCATGTCGGTCCTTGAATACTTCCTGAAAAGTTCTTGAATATTTTCATGGGAATCTTGCATGAACCCTGTACTACGCTGTACAAATAAGGAAGCAAAAAAAATCATCCAATCAGAAATCAGTTCATGTCATGAGTAATATGTGAGGCCTTGTCAAGAACAGGTAGTGCATCTTATTTTTCTATAAATATTCCTTTAATGTCAGTCTTGGCATAGCTGATGTATAATAGGTACCAATCAAGAATATTGACAGAAGATATTATTTTTAATTGTGCAACAATAATTAGGAGCTGATTAATAGTAACTTCTGGGTGGTCATTGTTAATAATCATGGAGTCATTGAATCTGTTAATGAAATTTATCTTTTATAATTATATTGCCAAGGTATCGTGGTAGGATTTTTCAATCCTGATGCCTTTGACCCATGTAACTGCTCTTATTTGGGTCCCAAGCATTGTGTTGTAGGTAACTATRCTAGTTTAGAAAGCCGCCTTGTCAGCACAAATTGCAAGTAAATATGTAAAAAATCATTTTWAAAACTTTTCAAAATTTTTGTTTATTTTCGTGGAGCATATTTCATATCATAATAAGGTATGTTAAATTATTAKAATATCTATTATGATGTCAATAGAAGCGAAATAAGTCCTGGCATACATCAAAATTAGAAAAATGTATTTTTTGGCTTTATTTTGCATAATTTATGCATGTTTTTACTTTAGCACAATCCGTGGGCCCAGTTGTAAGATAGGTGGATAGTGCTATCCAACTAATAAATYTTATTAAAATTCATTGTATAACAGGAACAATATTGTGTTATCCACTRGATAAGGATTGGTAGGATTTATCYATTGGATAGCACTTACRACCTGGCCCCGATTGCCTGTGTTATAATAGCTTAAGTTATTAGAATATCTATTTTAAATACTTTGGAAGTTTGAATGAAAGCAATAGGCATAACTGTAAAAATCCTGTCTGTGTTAGATGTCATACGTAAAAAAATTGAAATTATATATATTATTASATTGTTGCTCTATTGACCAGATTTGATACATCAGCCAGCTGGTCAAACACCATTCTCATTCCCAGATCCTCTTTGGTTGTCTTTCCTCCCCTCCAGGRAAACTACAACCAGAACCAAGGAATATTGCGACCACGTCCTCACAGTGCATGCGCGAACTCTTTCCAAGACAAGGCAAGACAAGCATGGACAAGCCTATGTCTACGAATGGCAAACAAAAATCCATTCAAAAAGTAGATCTCTTATCCTTCTTTAAAGCCAATCAAATTGTGAGAATTTGTAGGGTTTCCCAGAGCCTCTGACGGGGAGGAACAACAACCAAGGAGGATCTGTGAAGGAAAATGGTCAAACACAAGGTATTATTCACCTTTCTGTAATTGAGAAGGGACTGGGAATTAGTGTAGAAATATTAATCTTATTAAAAAAAAAAACCTCATCACATAAAAGATCACACTAAACTTATTGGAGTTTATTTGGGCAAATACTGACTTATAAGCAAGCTTTAAACAAAACTTACGAATAAGAGAGAATGTATGGTTTTTGTGTGTAACACCAATGAAGTTAAAACATTTTTGAAAACTCCACTGCCAAAGAAATGTTGGTCAGTCTATTCACAAGATATGAGCAAAGCTAACACACTAATAATCATTTAATGATGAYTATTACAATGTGAATACTATAACTTGGGCCACTTAGACAGCAAGAACCAATCAAATTGTTGAATAAAAACAATACATTCAAACTTTGGTGGAGCCAATCAGAAAGCCACAGAAAACAATAGCCTTTGAACATATTCTTATATTCCCAYGAGAAAATGACAATGGCTATCTAGTTGTTTACATGTAACATCAGGGTCAAATTAGCATTCTTGTGCAGTCTAGGTTTCTGATTGGCTCTACTACCCAAAGTTGGGAATGTATTGTTTTTATYCTACATTTTAATTGGTTCTCTTGTCTAGCTGGTCTAAGTGGCCCTGTTTATAGTAGTAGCTTACTGAAATTATAAATAAAAGTTTTTTCATGGAGGATTGCCTCAACATGCAGGTTGGAGAGGTTGCAGAATAGCAGCTTAGATTATYTATGACTTGGCAGTTAGCCTCATCCCTCACTCATTAAACTCTGCTCCATAATCTCTAAAGTGTTAATTAAATATCAAGTTTATTTTTTGTTCTGATTGTTATATATAATTATGATTTGGAAAGTATATGTGCAAATGAAACCTGTACATACACAGATCCAAAAAATATAGTTCAGTGAAGGAAGAGGTCTATATAAAATTGAGGGCCCAGTTGTAACTAGGGTGGATAGCGCTATCCGATTCCTATCCTATGGATGGTCCTTATATYCGATGGTAAATTTATTGGATAGGATAACAGCATCGCTTCATCCACTACTGGATATAGATTTGTCCATCAGGTAGCACTATCCAATCTTAATACAACCAGACCCAGTAGAATAATTTGTATGCTTAAATGAATATAGAACAAGYTTTGTTCACCTTGTAATAGTAATTGTATTAAACAATGGTATTGCAGCAAAAGGAAATAAATTTTTGTAAAAGATGTGTACAAGTTTGTATTATCAAAATGTTCAAATAGACCTATTTACCTTTGTTGTTTGTATTTCCATTTCAGACCATGTGATGCCAGTCACTCTTGGGACTTGATTCTTTCTTATCTAAATATATTAAAATGTTCGTCATAGAAGAACAATTCTCAGGGGAATGTCACATGGTCTGAAATGGACAATGTGTATACAACGATAAAGAGGTCTTTTTTTATAGTGAATCTGGTGATTTTAAAAAGATATACAACTACTATTATCGTTGTAGTGCGACCAGCGAAGTTCAATGTCTTGTTTGCAAACTAGTGGTACCAAACTAGTATTTTGACGACCGTCCATCAAAGAACTGAAATCAAAAACAATATCTTGAGAGAGACTGAATTTTAATCCTAAAAAGATCTTGGAGGATCAGAGGGTTAAAATCTTTAATCCAGTCTAAAATCTCCCTAAAAATTTAAAAAAAATTTCAGTCCTTTGATTGACGGTCAAACCAGACATTGAACTTTGCGGGTTGCWCTTCAATGACAATGTAGCAACAATTAAAGTGTCAGAAAAACTAAATATTATGTTTTTGATATAAAAATTCTTATGAACTCAGACATTCTGTATTCCATTGGGAAAACTACACAATGTTAGCATAGCCAGGATTAGTTTATAGCCAGTTATTTACCTTATATTCACTGAGTACTAGCATTCAAAAATATTATGGACACCTGCAAGAATCAACGGACAACTGGCCATTTTCATGATTGACCCAAATATAATGAATTATTCTCAAGGGAATGACACTGAAATGTAAAACCATTACGCTCTAGTGGAATTGATTCTCAATTATCATCCGAATTTGTTCTTGAGAAAAAGGATTGACTTCCCTATAAAAAGCAGAAGTGAGAATAAAGTACCTGTGAACCCCAGCGTACATTTTTATATCATCCTTTATCAATATGTTACCAGTACTACTGAAGTTATGTTGAAATACAAAGAAAGAAACTAAATGAAAATGAGTGCAGAACAAAATGTCAGAGTCCTTTTCTATATGTAAGATATCTTTCATTGGCAAGTCCAAACAAAAAAATAAGTGTTTTTCCTGTTGCATGAGAAAACAATTGGGGTTATTAGGTCAGATTTTTTTACTGATACAACAGAGGAAATTAGCTTAGTGGGAACCCTGTGGTGCATCTGTGGAATGAAAAAATATTGGGGTCATCAAGAATCTGCAAGAAAATTAGGGTCAGTTGCACGACAGGAAACACACTTATTTTTTGTTTGGCCTAATCGGCAAGCAGAAGTTTATTCCCTCCCCTACCTCRGAGCTGATCACACTACCTAACACTGCTCTCTCTGTAACTTTCCAATTTATCTTAGATTGTGAAATAGTATAATTGTTGCATTTTTTAAATTCCAGCCTTGCTGTATAAATTATTTTATGACTCATATATTCCAACTTTCCTAACTAGTATAAACAAATATACGCACAAGTTGCAATCTCTTTTATTTTAATTTAAAAATACTTTCATAATCTTCAAGTTGTAATTAGCAAAAATATTCTTTAGACAACATTATGGATAATAGATAATTGTAGGTCAAAATTCTAGTAAAACCTCACTTTTATATTGAATTAATAATAAATGCTACATTAAAGTGCATTAAATTTTGATTTATGTGATGGCAGCTGTTTTGATGTCATGTGCCTTTATCATCAATCAATGGTAAGATGAAAATCTACATCAATAGTATTGATAATTTCTGAGTGATCAAGTACCAAATTAGTGGCAAACAAAATCCACKGAGAACGCCAGTCTAAAAGTATTAGGGACGATCCTTGTATCTTCTAGTTAAAGACTTTTACATTTTTTACTTTGATAGTGAAATGTAGATTTGCTATTTGGTATTTTAGTGCGCTAAAGAATAAATTTAATGCATATGAGCACCACTATTAAATTTAAAGCATTCCAAGTCATCTGCTTTGATTATTGTTTAGGAGTCTGTAAGAGTCACTTTCAGAGAAAAGTATTTTTRAGGTCTGTATGTTTTTCACTTACAAGCAAGCATCCCTAACACTCTTAGAAGAGGAGCCTCCCAGGCAAAAATCAAGTGAAATAGTAATGGTATAATTYACAGTGCAACRCACAAAAGTATGACCACATTATTTAATGTATTTGCATATTTCTATGCACTGGCATTTTCCTGACAAAAGTGGCTCTCACCATTTCGATACCTTCAGGGATCATTATCCTAGATAGATGTGGCAGTAAGGCTCGTAATTTACTTATTACGCATGGATCATTATCCTACTTGAGAATGATTTCTGAAGGTATTGAAATGTTCTAAGACCAAATAAGATTYTACATGATTTACATGTATTTGACAAAACCATCCAGTTTGCTTAATGTAGAAAAGCCCTTGCATAAAAGTATCACAAGTCAGACTTTTGYACATAGGTCTGTAACTGAAGTCATATGAATCTCATACAATTATGTACAATAAATTCTTTACACTTAATGTGTTACAAGTCTAATGAGGGAACTATAAAACCCTGAAATTTTCTATACAATACGATGCTTTCAATTATTAGACAAAAATATGAAAACATTTTATAATAAATAATTTTTGGATTTATAAACAGACTTTAGTCTTGATAAGAGCCTTATACATGCTGATTATGGGCTCTGCTTCTACCTGTTTCTGAATACTCTGCAAGGTCATTTATGTTGTTCCTTCAGGGCTTAGAATAACAGCTGGTAAGTCTCTTGTCATGATGACCCACCAAATTAGTTTTAGCTTACTTGTACCTCGTTTCTGGCTCAACATTGTTGGTCAAAATAACCAGCAAGGCAAAGATTTGAGCGGAGTGGACAAGTTCCAATTCTGGGCAGATGTTGTCTGATGTGTGGCTGTTATTTTGGGCCCTGCCTTTGGTGTTTTCAATGAATCATTGTTTCAAGAGGATGTCTTGAAAATCTGTATACCTGGATTGAAAGCTTGCATCCTTTTACAAACTGGAATATGTTCAAACATATTGTATGCACATTTACGCATCTTGAATGCCCTTTGTCTTCAATGGTTTTATAAAAGTTATGAAGGCAAAATAATATTTCTTTGTACATCTTTGAAAAATTCATGGCYCATTGCTAACTTGGCAGAGATTCTTGAATCTGGCTGATAAGTCAGCATTTTCTGAAACATCAAGAATCATTTTATTTTAGCTGCAATAAGGTGTGGGAAATAGTGCCCAGAAAAATAATTAAGAGTTTTGAAAATAAACATTTTTTGGGCCATCTTGGTAGGCAGAGTTTGTAAATTGACGTCAGAATGTTGTGCAAATTTCAATGAGCAAACTCTGCCAATCAAAACATAAAACTGAAGCATCAATACCTATTTGGTTAGCAGAAGGGAGCACAATTCAAATTTGTCAAATTATTTTGTTGTTAAATAGAAATAAAAGACTTGTAGAAGTGTTCATGCACAATAACAAAATTCAATGATTCATTTATTACCTGTAAAATGTCTATAGCTGGATCATGGAGTGAGGGAATCACATTTTCTAGTGACTGTACTGGCCACTTAGGAAAAGTAGTTTTGTAATCTGGCAGTTCTGACACACCAGGCCAGATATCATTGTCTGGTGTCCCAAGAGTTCTGAAACAGTTAAGGCATTGCATGAGAAATTTTGAAACATCATGATAATAAACCCCTTTTCTAATACTATTACCTGTTGTTCAAAATTTATTTATTTATTTATTTATTTACATTCATATTTTAACAGGAAGCTTCTTCACTTATAAATGTGATTTTCAAGAAGGTCCTGATAAGATATTTTTACAATAATATGCAAAAAGAGAATTTGGAGGTTGAATATCGAAACCAGCTCGTTACTGAAAAGTCAACATCATTATTACTAGTATGTAAAAYTGTAAAAGATGAAAAGTTCAGATTATTTAGGTTTACAGGTTTAAAAGAAATTYGATTCAAAATGGTTAATAATAAAACATTTTTTTGGGAGTGTCACTCAGATTGTTCCATTCTTTCATGGCTTGAAACTGCATTGTTTGTTTTCCCCAGTTAGTTTTGGGTCGTGGTAAGCGAAACTCACTTCCATGCCTCGTGTTGTAGCCATGCTCATTGAGCTTAAAAATAATATGCATTTGAGACATACCTGAATATTCTAAACAACTGGTCAATTTCAGAATCCCCCGGGAATAGTGCTCTCCTTGTAATCTGCATAAAAACAAATGACATTGATATCACTATCAGAAGTTAGTTTAAAGAAAATAATATCTCTCAAATTGTCTAAACAAAAATAACAAAGAARCTAAAATGAATGGATCTGAAAGTTAATGTAGATTACTCATCAACAGCATGGCTCTAGAAAATATAAATATGATATGAATATAATTTATATAAAAATACAGTAAAAAATGTATATATTATGTAAGAAATGTAAATTCTTACCATTTCAGCAAATATGCAACCAATACTCCACACATCTACWGGAGTTGAATAATAACGACATCCAAGCAATATCTCAGGTGCTCTGTACCATAGAGTTACCACCTCATGGGTGTATGACCTCACTGGAACACCAATTGCTCTAGCCAAACCAAAATCTGCCAGCTTGATTGATCCATTCTTGTCTATCAAAAGGTTCTGTGGCTTTAAATCTCGATGGAGTATTCGGTGTGAATGGCAAAAAGCTATCCCATTTAGCAACTGGTATAAGTAACTCTGGGAATAATAAAATACACCAAAACAAGACTTCATTTAATATTCAATGCACATGTATTTGCATAAAACTTGATCAAAGATAAAAATTGACAWTGGTCAAAATGGAAAGGTTGAAGCATACTTTTACAAGTGGTAGTTGCATACCACTAGCAGGTAAAGAGTCCAGATACTTCTTCAGGTCTTGGGTTAAGAATTCAAAGACTAAATAAAGGCTGTTGACACTTTGTACAACRTCAAACAAACTGAAAATTGAAATGTATAATGGGACTTGATTCTTTCTTATCTAAATATATTAA